TCCCTACTGAGAAATGTTCCAGATCGTTTCTGACCTGGGTGATTCACCTTCATCACGGAAAAGACCCATGAGAGTGAAGGATGAGGGAAGCAGCTGCCCCCATGCCGCTCACACCCCATCCTGGTATGCTGAGGTCTTCAGCAGTGGTGCAGGGTCCAGGCTGGGTCTGCCTGCAGAGATGGGAGCAGCTCATGCATTCACCTGTCCCTCCAGACGCAGCCCAGGTTTGCACTGGTAATTTGGAGTCTCCTGGGATCAGCCAAATACAGTAAGATGGGCAGGTCCCTAGAAGATGATCTCTATAGAAAAGTCCTTCTCTAGAGGCCCTTTCAGGAGGAAGGTATCCCCCGAATCATTGATACTCCTATATTGCTGGAGTGCATCCCCCCTGCAAGAACATCACCACAGCCTGCACGGGCCACGCACCAAAGGGTCACCCCTGTGCTCGTGCTCAGCACTTCAGCTCCAGTAAAACATGCTGTCAGATCATAACCAGGGGTGCCAGGACTGTTTTTTCTCCTTCACCCACCAAACTGTGCTTGCAGCAGCAAAGTGGGGTTCACAGACTCATGCAATGCATCCTCGGGGGTGGGTCTCATTTTGCTGCTTTGGAGACTCCCCTATGGCCAGGAGAGACCCAGGCTCTTCCAGAGCATGGCAGCCAGGCTCCCGAACTCCCTGCTAGAGATACCTCGAAATACCAAGAAGCACCTTCTCACGCCATGGATCCACTATTTATTATTATGTGTATAGCCCACATGCAGAGTGCTGGGCCAAACGCAGGATGCTCCCTACCCGTCTGTTTACAATTGCCTCTATCCGCAGCCAGCCAAAATACTTCAGACAAACATGCACAACTCCCAGCAGGGAGACACGGACTCACAGACTGTCCCATGGATGCAGCCTCCCAGGATGCCCAGGTTACTGGATGGCCCAGTAACCCACTCCATGCAAGCAGAAATCCCCTCTTGGGTGCTAGAAGGAGCCTGGAGTGAACAAAACTGCTCCACATCTTTGAAAGGATGATCTGTGGAGCATGTCTCCTGCCTGCATGTATACTGCCCTCTCTTAGCAGTAATAGCAGATCTATAACGTGAAAGATTTTACCTTCTTCGGCTTCCAGATCCACCAGTGAAGATACCAACACACCCATCTCCTGACATTTTTTGCTGTGGGCCTTTGACTTCATATGTTTAGTCAGATTCCCTGAAAAGAAGCAGAAAACATATTTTGGTTAATATGGCTTTTTGGGGGGCGGTTGGTTTTTTTTCTTCATTTTGCAAGCTCAGCAGTAACAAGGTAATAATTTGGCTCTGAACTGGACAAAGGAGGCCTCTGTCTCTCCCCAGACCATTATCCATTGCAAATACCCCATGACACAAGGCTAATTCCTCACTTACATTCCTTTGTTGCTGCATTGGGGTGGAAGAGGGGGTGCTGGCGGGGTTGTGTGACCTTTCAGGTGTTGTGCAACCTGAAAAAACTGTTGGGGTACACATTTGGGTTTGGGGGGAAGAAAAGTCCCGGATTGCTTTCAGCTGTGATGGTGCAGCAAAATAAAATGGTTGGTAGGAAAGTAGGGAAGAGAAACACATCTCAGTCTAGCATCACCTCCCACCTCATCCCAGCACACAGGGTCACCTGCCTAGAGGTGAGGAGCTCCTTAGCACCACGGGGCAGACTGGTACTACTAAAAGGAGTGCTCAAGATGCCAGCAACAGGGAAAAACCCTACGATCGCCCGCTCCCCCCAGCAGGATGACTCAGATGCTCTGGCATGCACTGAAGTGCCAGGCAAAAGTTCTCAACTCCCTGGAGCAGAAGGAGTCATGGATACCCTCTGAAGCCCTGTGCAGCAGGGTCAGGCAGCACTGAGAAAACCTGCTTAGCACTAATGAGGCCTCCTTGGGGCCAGGATGGAAAGAGCAACCCTTGCAAGGGGGAGCCTGGGATGTGGGGGCATTGGTTACTGCTCTGAGATGGTGTGATGGGATAACTCGTGGGCATGCTGGCCTCACAGGGCACCTCTCTAATTCTAAGTCCCAAATTACAGGCAGGTTAATTAGACAGTTATTAACCCTACTGATATCCAAGGGAAATGCTAAACAAAAGGGAACCTTTGTTGAGGGGGAAAAAGTAGGTAGGTGGAACGGGGAGAAAAATAAAGGGTAGGAGAAATAAAGAAAAAATGTCCCATTTTTCCCTTTCCTCTCCCACACCTCTTCATGGGCTGAGCTGCTGATGAGAGAAACCTGGGCCTTTGCTGAAGCTTCACCAAGGGCTATTTAATTTCCCAGCACAGCCCAGGAGCTGGCTGAGCACTCCAAATTCACCGCAGCAATATGATGTGCCATCAGCCTTCCTGTTAGCTAACATCTGAGAGTAGTGCTGAACACGAGGCTTGCTTTTCTCACCAAAAAAAAAAAAAAAAAAAAAAATTTGAGGAAAAAATGAATTCTCACACTTCTTTATAACCTTCAGCTGAGGACTGAGGTCCCTCAGATGGTATCCTGCAATCCACGAGTCCCTCGGTCCCTGAGCTGGGTGGGAGTATAGAGGGCCTCTATCAACGTCTCCTCCCGCTGCTCCGGATAGTATAAATAAATAAGCAACTATTCATTGGAGCAGAGAATTACCCATGACGCCCTCACATCTCAGAAGAGTGCCATAACCATCTAGCTACCAAGTTAGTTTCTCTTTAGCCCATGAATTATTTATTTAGCCCCTTTTATACAAAATGGAATAGCTCCAACAGGAAAGACCAAGAGAGACAAAGGCTGACTATATATCCTTGTGTATCTGGCACCCATCTAGGATGTGGATTCAAAGGATATTTAATAATTTAAATGCAGCAAAACAGCTCCAATAAGAGAGATTTATTATTTTAAAACTTCATGCCTAAATACCCTTAACCCCACGGTTAGAACACTCAGGTATGAGGATGAGGCCAGCTTGGCTCAGGTCCTTGCTCTGAATCAGACCTCTCTTTCTCTGCTTTGGACCAGGAGTTTTGTTGTGGACCCAAAGACACCCAGTCAGACAAGAGCATGCTCTCATGGACACCTCTGGTCCCAGTGAATCACCATTGTTTTAAAGTGAAAAACTGTTTCACCAAAAAGTATCCAACGAGTCCAAATTGTGGCCTCATAGAACTGGAATTTAATTTTGGACCTAACTAGCAAAAAGACAAACTGACTCAGTCTGTTGAAATCAAACCCTGCTGCTGCTGCCTGTCCATCATGGCACATCACATCTTGGCTGGCAAAAATGACCCATCTTTGCTCATTTACCACAGCAAAATCCCTAACTGGATTCCCTCCAATGATAATAAACACAGAAAATAAGCCCAAGTAAATGCCTGGTGTGAGCAGGGAGTTGTTGGTTAAACTATGGTCTGTGGCACCTCGGGAATTCAGCTGTGATCCCCATGGTGGGAAGAGTGAAGAGGGGGGGTCCACCAGGCATTTTGGTGCTACCACATCTCCAAAACAAGCTCATAAATTCACTGTGCTACATGCATCTGTCTTTGGCTAAACCGGGAGAGCGTAACATTAATTACCTGGGGGGGCTGTTGAATGCAATGTTTTGGGCAAGACTGCAGCCACCCTGTACTTGAGGGAAGGACTCTGGTCCTCAGAGGCATACAGCAGCCACCTTGGCCACTTCAGATGTCTGAAGGCTGGTTATGCACACAACTCCTCCCCGCTGCCTTAGCTCCAGTGCTGTTCGCAGCGAACACACACTCTCCCTTTTGCTGCTGCAGGATCTGGGCAGACACGGGGAGCCCAGCTGGCTGCTTCTGCAGCCTGCAGCTCTTCACCCATCACTTCATTGCACCTCTGCTTTGACTCAGCTCCACCCTGAACAACGGTTCGGGTTGACAAGCTCTGCCAGAAGCCATCAGTGTCACTTCCTTTTTTATTGTCTTTCACTGGAGGCAACTGTCCTTGTGCAAGGCAATGCCATGGCTTCTCCTCTTCCTTCCCCACCCAGGCTGCCTTCACAGGTGTGAGCTGGAAGGCACTGCACAGGCAATGCCAAACCCCCCTGGGCGAATGAGTTTATGCAAAATACCAAAGGACCAATTCACAGCAAGTGTTGCTTTCTTTCCCCTTCCACTGTTTTCTACTCTGCTTTCCATCTTCCTTCATTCTTATTTGGTTAGATAAGGTAATACCCACATGCGCTGATGAACAAGATAAGCCTGCAAAGCTCTCGGTGCAAATCCCCCTGGTGCACACTCTATCCATGCACAGCCCCCTGCATGCACACCAAGAAGAAATTCCAACAAAATAGGGATGCTGCTAGCCTTTTAAGGAAGGGAGACTCAGTGGGCCGGATTCTCATCTGACCTAAGCTTGCATCATTTTAAGGAAGTTAAAAGCTCGAGGCTTATTTACACCAGCTGAGAAGCTGAGTTATCATCTTGGGAGCAATTTGGAGGACAATGATATGTATCTTATCAGGGTTCTTCTTACAGTTTGTGTTTTTAGACCCCTTAATTAATGCTGGCAGGATTAAACGCTAAAGTCCTTTGGCAAATTTCCAGTGAAATCAACACCACTTTGCCTAAGTAAAAGCTGGATATGAATCCTACAAGGAAGGACTCACAGCTACTTGTTGCCTTACAGAGTTTTGGCTCCCAACTTAAAAAAAAAAATCAAAACCCACATAGCATTGCTTCCTTGGAAACAGTGGAAAAAAACATGTTTGAAGGAGCAAGAGAGAAACTAGCAGGCGGGGAAGCTGGATTTGAATAGCAGAACAGTTATATTGAATCTTAAGCAGGTAAGTGGTCCCTCACTAAGGATTGTTTACCAAAAAGTTTCCAGATTTGAAATAAACTGGCTATATTTATATAAATTCAGGAATCAGTGGAAATTGTGACCCCACCCCAACTATTGCTGCATTGGAGGAGTACACGCAGTATCAGCACAGCTCTCTCATTACGCCTGCTTACAACTATATATTACCATCCGTTTAAGCTCTTCTGATGTTGTGAGGTCTTATTCTGGACTTAAAGCAGCTTAAATACTTGTGTTGTTTTGAGAAAGCTAAAACTCTAGTGTTTCAAAAGCACTTAAAGCAGCTTAATAGGGACTAGAAGTGATTTCTCAGTTCAATTTAAAGAGGGAAATTAATTTTTCAGAATATCCATTCTCATATTTTAAAGGTGGAGAAGTTAAAGCAAAATGCAGGGAACAGAAACATTAAGATTCCTGGAAAAATTATCCTCTCTGTATTGGGCATACACCATGCTTTCTATTTCTCCTATTAAATGTGAACAATTTACAACAACAAAAAAAAAAACCTCAGCAAATGACTAACTGCATGATCTCAGCATCCAAGGCGACATTGTGATACAAACATTCACAGCTTTCCAGGACTTAAGTATTTTCATATTCCTTTTTTAAAATGATGTGCGAGGGGAGCAACAGCTACTCTATAACGAGCAGACTCCCATTTTTCTGTGAGATGCACTCACAGAGAACCAGCCACAGGCCAATACTCTTTGTCCCAGATAAACCCTTGAAATAGGTTTTATGTGTGATTTAAATAATGCACGGGCCTTGATTTAGGTCTTGGCATGGAGATAATGTCCCCAAGTGAGACTCTATGAGAAGGAAAGCTGTAATTTATATAATTTATTGCGCAAAAGATTTCAATTTTTAAAAATTTTGTTATTATCTTTTATACTTATTGACTTAAAGGTTAAAGGAGAGAATTTGAACATCTAGCCTGCCTGCCTGTATTGATACAGGCTATAAAATACTACCCATCTTCTGGATCAAGCCTATCAGCTTGCGTTAGCCAAAAACTAATCTTCCAGAAAGGTACCAGGCTGGATTTGCAGATTTCAAAATACAGAGAATTAGCATATTTCCCATTAAGGCTTGTGCTGAGACTTAGTAGCTGCACTGTTTAAAAAAATAACAGCTAATATTTCACTTGAATTTGCCAGTCTTTTATTTGCAGCCCTCATTCCTTTTTTTACCTTTCCCTGGTAAGTTAAAGAGCCCTTTTGCTCACAGAGTTTCGTCTCCTGTCTGGATCACTGGGTCATTTTCTGTTCCCAGCGACGCGTCTCACACCACATTGCGTAAGGGCGCAGGCAGCAAATTCCTGAGGATAACTCCGTCCTCATCCCATTGGAGGTTTGTGACATCCCGGGGAGCTGGGGGGACCAAAGCCTCTTCCCAGCAGTGG